ATATAGTACAAAAAACACGAGAAATACTTTTTTTTCCGTATGAGCCTATAATAAGAACAAACCTTAATTGAAGTGGCAAAATAAAAAATAGTGGCAACTTTGAGGCGCCGCTTGTGTATTTGCCTATTTGGCTAATATTTACTAGTAATAGATACCAAAAATGTTCACTAGTACGTATTATTTTTGAACTTACCCTGAACATAAGGACCATTTTTCTCGGAAGGAAGAAGAAAGAGACCTTGTTCGCGGTCTGTAATCCAAATGGCTCTGCTCTTGTAAAGCAGATATCCCAGGTGAAAAAGGTGAGATTAAATTCCTTTGAAAGTTCAATTGCTCCTGCTGGATATATTACTCTGTTTTTTCTTCATTACTGTGGTGGATTTACAAATAATTCATTTGCTATTTTCAAATGGGTCCAAACCTAAATTTTTCTACTTCATCAGTACGCAGAAAATTTTATTGAACTTTATAGTTGTGATTGTACAGCATATATAGTTGTCAATTAGTATGCACTCACTAGCTGATATAGTGTGAAACGTTTTGAATATTTGTAAATGTTATCTTCGAAACTTTTAACTTATTAATTTCTGGATTTTCACAGCATTTTGTTGAAGTTGAAGTGTAATAAGGGAGCAAGTTTCAGAGCACATGGCATGTCATCAACTGTCACATTGTTTGAGGACTCTCTTTCACTTAGGGAGTAAAAATATATGGGTTGCTCTGTCGCCTAGTGGCAATTTCACTTCTTCCCGTTTCAGAAAGTTACATCCCATTTGTTCTTTATCGACATCTCCTCTTAATAGGGTAATTAGAAAAAGCTTCCATTAGTCTTTATCTTCAGTCCCTTGTACTTTTCAACATTAAAGCACTAATTGGCTATTAATTATAATTTGTCAGGGTTACTGCAGAGCCGTTTCTTCTGCTAATAATGTTGAATCAGAGCAAGTGTTACATAGAAATGTGCCTTTTGATTTTCCCCATACTCAAATTAAGTCGCCCAATCTTGATACTTCGAATGGCAGAGTCATGCTCATTGACGGAACCTCAATAATTTACCGAGCTTATTACCGGCTGCTTGGTATGTTTTTTCTCTGTATCATTGATTGTCGTATTCATCCTACTTTGGATATTGATTGTGGGTATTTGTGATGTATTAGATCTAAAAGCATCAACTGTATATAACCAATAAAATCTGCTTTTGCTTTGCATTTCTTTCTTGATAACCATAATTTCCAATAATGGAGAAATTGTTATACAATATTTAAACACTTTCAGTATATTGAAGTAGATTTTAGGTCTTATAGAACTACAAATTTGAAAGTTTCTTAATCAATAGTGGAGCAACATTTACCTGCTCAGGCTCCCAGTTTTTTTGACGGTCCCAAATACTCTCCGTAGGAGCCTCTACCTTCACATTAGTTATTATTTTGTGAAAAAAGTCTTTGTCATGGTGAAACTTGTTTTCTTCGTGTTGCAACTTGCATAGAAATACTTTTTTTTTTGTTAACCGGTTATTTGGAGAAGAGGGAAACAAAGAGAAAGGAAGGAACACGAGAGAGAAATAAAAATGAAGAAAGAAGTGAAGAAGATCATTTTCTGTCCTATGTCTGATGTGAGAGGATATAAAGAAATAAATGGAACAGAGGTTGAAACATCAGCCTATTTACTTTAATCACTAAGCAGGTGGGTCAAGAGAAAAGGAATTTTACACTTATTTTATCAAACTGAAAAAGGAAAAGAATCCTTTTTATATATAAAAAGTTCCTTTTCCTTTGTTTTCTCTTTCCTTTTTTCTGGACAAGGTATTTGTTGGGTATAGGAAGAACAAAAACCTTTGGTTATATATGGAGGATTGTATGGGATCAAAGGCCCAAACCAAGAAAAGCAAAAGCGTTAGCAAGAGGCCTTTTTGTTTTTGGGTGGATAAGAGAAACAAGATTTCTTAAGTATGGTACTGTCATTTTGAGTTATCAATCACTTTCTTTTTTATGTGCCTTTATCAGAATTTGCTTCTTTAATTGCTTTTTATTTTGTACTGAGGTCTCTACTTGAGGTTTGGGTTTGTTTGTGCTTGGTATTTGGTAGAACACAAGAGAGAGCTCACAGGCATATCATGGAGGAATTTGCTCTTCTTTCTTATGACTTTAGAATTAAATCTTGAGGTGATGGTGCATTGCTTAAAGCTTAATATCAATTATTTCACATATTGATATAACATTGGTGTAAAGCATTGCTCTAAGGCCAGAATCTCAAAAAATAGGTTGACGGAAAGTTAATATTCTTAAATGCAAGTTGTCAACATGAAGTATGTTATCATAATTAATAGACCTATGAAGTGCTAATTTGTCGTTTCCCTCTTCGTCCTATTCTAACCTTCATTTCTCATTCCGTATCATCTTTTTTCTTTTTTCTATTTGCGGGGGACTGTAATAACGTGATCCAAATTCTATTAGCTGATGAGGCTTTCTGCAAAATGATTTAAAGATGACAATTTAACATCTTTAGAATGTACTTACTCACAGTCCAACTTCATCTATTATGTTGAATTTCTTTTTAAGCCATATCCGATTTGCTAGATGGCATAAGTTGAAGGCTTTTTTGTGCTTGACTGCCAGACTGACTTACAACGCCGGAAGTTTCTTCTACTTGGTTTATGTTGATACAGTTTTTACAGTAATTTACCCTTTCCTAAGACATCAATGAGTATGCATATTTTGCTTCTGATACATAGCTAAGCTTCTTGAATTGGAAAACTGAAAGAAGCAAATTATAGATCACTTTGACAAGGGAGGAGTAAAGTTAGTGCGAATTAGAATTTTGTGTTATTTCACTTGCTAACTTGATAATGCTGGACCTTTTATCATGAGCTTATTGGAATATAGATAATTCCATTAGATATGAACATGTGTTCTTCCTCTCCATGTCTGGTGAAATCTTCTACATTTAGTGATAATTGTTTCTTTATGTTTTGAGCAGCTAAACTGCACCACGGTCATCTTTCACACGCTGATGGCAATGGAGATTGGGTACTGACTATATTTACAGCATTGTCACTTGTAAGTCTTTGCTCCTTTAGCTTCCTGATGTTTCTTGTGATATTTTAACATGGGCAAAGTTAGGCAATTTCGTATCTACATTGCGCAATTACCCTTTAAACCTTAGACGCCTTTGTAAATGAAGATGTTTTCCGTCTTAAGGAACTCCTCCATGCTTGTTTAATACCAGGGTGAACTTTCATAAAACAATGTAGTGAATCCAGAAATTAAGAATTCCCAGAAAACTTTAAATTGCTTATTTTAACTCAAGCAACTTGCTAATTTAGCTCTCCTGTAGTTGCTTGAATTAGTTTGGATCTACTGTATAGATCTACAGCAGTCGTCTTCTTTTATTTGTAGTTCATATATTGATCTAGCCAACATGCTTATATTGCAGATTATTGACGTTCTGGAGTTTCTTCCTTCACACGTAGTGGTAAGCACCTTTTCTTCTCTGTTTATATTAATGTCAAAATATTCTTCAGTATTAGCCAATAGGATTTTTGTTGTCATCTTTACTTCTTTATCGTTCCTTGATGTACTTTCAAGGTTTTGCACCTCTCAAGTACAAAGAAATGAGAAAAACAAAGGCACCCCGCTAAAATTTTCACAAAACTAACGAAAGCGTTCTTCAAACTCACGTTAGAAGAATGTAAGATGAAAGGAAGAATTCTAGTAAGGATGGGATACCATTATACCAGCTAACAATCCTAGTTTGACTAGAACTATGAATATAATCCTACTAAAATAAGAATTAAATTACTAGGACAAGAAATCAGAAATCCTAATCTTCAAGGAAAAGAAATCTTAATCTTGGATGGATTCTTGGACTTCTTGGATTTCTTGAATTCCTAGCCTTCTTGATCTTGCATCATTCTCCCCTGGTTGAGAAAGACTCGTCCTCGAGTTTAACAGCTTCCATAAATGGCGTAAGATTTGCTATAATAAACCCAATGCTCACCAGGTTTCAAGTTACACTTCGCTAGCTTATAATAGAGCTTCTTCACGTTGTAAGAAAACTTAGCATGTGGTCGAACTAAAACCCACTTTCTAAGTTTCAACTTTCTACCATGCCTTCTCCATGTAATCTTTCTATATTGACTATCAAACTTCAACTAACGATATGAAGTTATTGGTGTTAGAACTTCATGAAACTTAGCCAACTCCATGTATAACTTTGAATTACGCAGGGAGATCAGCGCTCTTATTGGGAATGCATCAATTGCATCGCTTGTACACCAATAGTCTAAAGCAATCTCCTAGATCTTGGTTGGACAAATTTGCTCAGTTTGTCAAGGGCTTAGGATATTTTCAAAGACAAGCAAATCACACAATGTTCATTCGACATTCAATACAAGGAAAAATAACAATCCTTATAGTGTATATTGATGACATCATACTTTACGTTGAGATGACTCAACTGAAATGAAGAACCTAAAGGATTAATTAGCATCAAAACTTGAAGTCAAAGACTTGGGACATTTGAGGTATTTTCTTGGCATGGCGATGGCTGGATCAAAGGAAGGAATAATGGTGTCTCAAAGAAAATATGTATTGGATTTGTTAAAAGAAACAGGAATGAGATTGTGCCACCCGTAGAAACTCCTCTTGATCCAAATGTAAAGTTCGGGAATAAAGAAGGAGATTCGATTAACAAAGGCCAATATCAGAGATTGGTAGGGAAGATAATCTACCTATCAGACTCGTCTTGATATAGCTTTTGCAGTAAGCTTAGTCTGTCAGTTTATGCATTCTCCCCGAAAAGAGCATCAAGAGGCTGTCTACCGAATTTTGTGATATTTTGAAAGGCTCACCGAGAAAAAGATTGTTATACAAAAATAGTGATAAAAGGAGCGTTTGAGGAATATAGTGGATGTAGATTGGCAGGGTCCTCTACTGATAGAAGGTCTACTTCTTGGTATTGTACATTTATTTGGGGAAATCTCGTGACATGGAGAAGTAAAAAGCAAAGTGTTGTGGCATGAAGCAGTGCAGAAGCGGAGTATAGATCCATGGCTCTTGGAGTTTGTGAAATGATTTGGCTTAAGAAATGATAAAGGAACTACGAAGACCTATGACTCTACTGATAAAGCTGTACTGCGACAATAAAGTTGCCATAAGTATAACCTATAATCTAGTTCAACATAATAGAAAAAAGCATAATGAGGTAGATAGACATTTCATCAAGGAAGTGTGTGCTTACTATTTGTGCCAACACACAACATGTATTTCTACTAAGGGGTTATTTAACCTGAGATTTGAAGGTGTTGTGAGCAAGTTAGGCATGTTGGATATCTATGTACCAATTTGAGGGGGAGTGTTGATTTGTATTATCTAATTATGATCATATGAGGTCATATCGAATCAGATGGTTAGGAAAGTTTCAGATTCTTAGGGATTATATTTGGATTAGAGTTATCCCTTAATTCTGGACTATCTAGAATGAAGGGATTATTTTTCTTTTGATTGCTTGGCTATTTCCTATAAATTATAAACTCTGTGAATGAATAAAATATACTATTCCAGTGGATGCCCGACCATGTTGAGAGTTCTTGGTCTCTTTTCCCACATTTCTCCTCGTAACAGGCTGCTCTTTAGTATGTTCAACGTTCTCTTTGTTAATCAGATACGCTTTGATTTTGTATGTTCAGAATTCAGGTCCTTATTATCTACAATATTTTTTGTTCCTTATTTTTCCTATATCACATATCCATTCCTTATTTTTCCTAGATTACTGTCACCCACATTTACCTCACCTGTGTTTATCAGGTAAATTAGATCTCTTTGGTTTTGACTCATTCCTTCGTCACTGCAAAAAGAATCTTCTTTTACAAATTTCTCCCTTGCAGACGAGTGGCAAAAGAAAAGGTTGGGCTTCAAAAATGTAATATCTATAGTAACCTCAATCTTTTTTTGTTTTTAGATCATGACAGATGACACTATACCCTTTCTAACTTTGGGCATGTCTTACAAAATTACTTTCTTGCACGTGGTTCTAGTTTGCTCTAGTATGATCATGGTTGTGAACAAAACTATTATACCCGAACACTTTTAATGGCCAATCAGTAGTTAGCCTAGATGTAGTAAATTTCTCTTTGAAGGGAGTTATAAAACTAAGAACCTTAGATTGCATCCTATTTATTAAATAGGCGGCAGTTAGAAGAGCTTCTCCCGATAAATATTAAGGCTCCAGTTCCACTAAATACCTACTTTTTTCCCTCTCGAAAAACCTATTTTTTTTGGGGGGGGGGGGGGGGGTAAGGGTCACGATAAGAATTTTGATGAATTATTCCCTTATTCTTAAAAAATTCCGTACTGCTCGTTGAAAAACTCTTAGCCACCATGATTCTTAATAATTTGGATTTCCTATTGAAGTTTCAATCATAGCATAAAAAACCTCGACCACCTTTTTTACCTTTCACTAGCTAAACCCAGCTAAGCCTAGTGATCACATCAGTATATTCACAAACCATCCTTTTCCATAAATTGTTAAAACCCTAGACGGTCATCAAACATCACTATGGATTAGCTTAAATAGTTTTGAGGCATGATATTGATGAGCGGAAAAAAACGTTGATGTTTTGCCATTTCACAAAAGTCACACTGAAAAATAGAAAGGCTTTTGTTCGTGAACTATTGAGGTAACAAATGCTTTAGATAATAAAGCCAGGATGACCAAGCCTACAATGCCAAAACATAAACTTACTCTCAGTAAAAACAAAGTTCAAACAAATAGATTTATTGTTTACTGAATTGTTGTTATCCTCAAGAAAATAAAGACCACCTGATTGCCTAGCATTGCAATCATCCTCTTCAAGACCTTGCTCTGAACTTCACCACAAAATGAGTCAAATATTGCACGATAATTGAGTGATTGGGTTAATTTTATAACTGATACTAAACTGACACAAGATGGCAAGTCAACGTCGGGCATTAAGGACATCAAAGTGGGTCAAGGAAGGAGTCAGTTTGATAGTTCCTTTTCCCGGTAATTGTTGAAAATGATCTATGAGCTATTCGAATTGAAAAAGATCTATGAGCAGTCCGAATTTTCTTGTCCCTGCACAAAGCAAGTAGAGAAAAAAATGAAAAATTTCTGTCATATGTTACTAGCTCGGTAGCTCCTGAATCGAGATTTAGGAGCTTACACCATTGGAGTGAGTACTTAGAAAAAATAAAGGGTACAATACCCCGTTTGGGCAAAAGAATAAGAGGGATTGGAAGGACTTTATTTACGGATTTAGAGTTGATTCTCAAGAAGCTTGTGCAAGAGCTTTAGTTGCTCTTCAGTGAACGGAGCCACTTTTGAAGACGACTCTTTCCCAAGCTCTTTGCTGGTTGTTTGGAATACTTGGCTGCCTTGATTGTCAACCCTTTTATTTCTTCCGGTTTGGAGGTTCCCCGTATATTTTTTTCCAACATGTTTCGCGGGTGTGCTAGTGCGTTTTACAAAAATCACACTAGGGTTTCTTCTTCTTGTCATCATCTCCGTTTTGCAGCTACAAGTGTGGAAGAATCTATTCTTTTTGGATCCGGATTAGGATCTGATTTCAACCTAATGTTGCTCCTATTTCTTCTCTTCTTATTTTTGAGAAAGTTTCATGCAAAAAAGGCAAGGTTTTTTCCCAAGGATTTGAGATCTTCATCAAATTCTCTGTTTAGTCCCGCTAGGAATAGATACAACAACAACAACAATAAAAAATCCAATATAATCCCACAAGTGGGGTCTGGGGAGGGTAGTGTGTACGAAAATCTTACCCCTACCTTGAAGGTACAGAGGATGTTTCCGATAGACCCTCGATTCAAGGAAAGATGCAAAGAAAGCATTAGCAACAAGCAGAATAACAACAAGATAATAAGAAAATGAAACGAAAGGAACGACATGCAGTAATAGATATCTAACAATAACAGAATACAAGACTAACACTAATACTACTGGTATGGGAAAGAAACACTCTCGACTACCTACTAGCATTCTACCTTAATTCTCGTCCTCCATATCTTCCTATCAAGGATCATGTCTTCGGTAAGCTGAAGCAACACCATATCCTGCCTAATCACCTTTCCACAATACTTCTTTGGCCCACCTCTACTTCTCCTTAGACTCACCAAGGACAACCTCTCATACTTCCTTACTGGGATATCTGTGCTTCTCCTCTTCACATGCCCAAATCATCCAAGCCTCGCTTCACACATTTTGTCCTCCACCGAAGCCACTCCGATCCTGACCCAAATATCTTCATTCCTAATCTTATCAGTCCTGATATGCCTGCACATCCATCTTAACATCTTCATTTCTGCTACTCTCATCTTCTGGACTTAAGAGTTCTTAACTGGCCAACACTCTGCCCTATCAACATAGTCGGTCTAATAACCATTTTGTAAAGCTTACCTTTAAGTTTAGGTAAGTTCTAAAGATAAGTTCTCTCATTTTCT